CAGACAAAATGTGTACTTCACTTCCTTCTATCCTTCCACATAATTAGCTTGCGCAAAACTAAATTTTCAAGGGAACGACAAAAAAAGAAAACCAGGTTTGTTGGACACTAAACAATTCAAGCACTAAAACTTAATTCACAATGATCAAAGGACTTTCATACAGAAGAATGGAAACCTATGTATACTACAGAAAGATCATAATTAAATTAAAATTTCCTTAATCTATTTGTTTCTCCTTTTTTTCCCCTTTCTCATTATTTCTGTGGCTTTTAGTTTTGGTATAATATTCTGTTAGTACTTTCTGAAGAAAAAAAACCCTCCTCTCAGATATGTACACCGATGACAGTCATTTAATATTGAGATGACAATTAAATTCACAATTCTGTAACTTAAAAAACCCTTGCCTCTGCACTGAAAATAACATCTATACAGAACTTGCTCCTACAGTGCCATGTGGTGTACAGTTCTATGCACAAAATCACAAATTAAACACAAAACCTAAATTGACTAATTATTATTGATAGTTTCTTTGCACTTGGTCTCCACCACCCTATACTCTACAAGCACAAATGAGTAAAGATGATGGATAAAGTCCAAATAAATGGTCAATATTCACTTAATACATCATCGTTAGCACCCTTTACAATTGTTACTTAAATTAACATAAAAATTTAACAAACCTGTTAAACCAATCATCACAGTGTTTTAACCAATGAACTGTCACCTCAGAAATATTCACGTCGCAAATGGAAATATGCATAACATGGTTTGTTTACTAAGGAGAATAAATATGATAAATGCCTGATTAAAAATTGGTATGCAAACTGTAAAATGGTAGTAGAACATAAATTGTAAATAATGGCTGGGTCTCATACATTAGCCACGTACTATAGCGTTCTTCAGTAGAATTGGCACCCCAAGTTGAGTTCTGCCCATTCTGAGCGACCAATCAGCACAAACGAGGTCTACTAATATACAGCAGGAGTTCAGTCTGTTCAGAAGAAGCACGACAGAAAAATCAGTGGCCAAACTACGTTCTTGCAAGTACACACCTGTTCCTCGTGTAGTGCTGAAACTTCTTTTCTGATGGAGAAGGAGGGATTTGTATAGCTAAGCTCATTAATAAATATATAGTATTCACATGTATTTGATTCTTCGCATGAAAATACATGAAAAAAAACAATATGCATTCACTGGTAACTAACGTTCTGCAACGCTACATTTAGCACTACTGTATGTTCTACGTTTCCTTGCATCATTCTCCCTCCTCCCCCCTTCTTTTATTTCCTTCCAAGATAGTACATTTGATTGGTACAGGACTCAGCCACCAAATCTGCTGAAAAACACAAAAATTGTCAACAGTTGCCACACGTTGTTAAAAAAGAGCCCAGTTCTCAAATAGTTACCAACACCTGTATATATTAACGGAGCCTCACACAACAGCCAGGTCTCAAACAAACGCTACCACAGAAATTGAAATTAACGGCTGGGTGTCAAATATGAGCATAGAAACTGTAAATAGTCAATAGGTCGCAACCAGTGGTCAGGTACTGGCAAATACATTGTGAACAGGGCATACAAATATGGGAACTGCAAGCAGTAGCCGAGTCTCGAACAGTAGACGGGTACCAGAATATTCTAGAGGTGCAGATTATCAAGATAATGCAACGACAGTAGCATTACATGACAAAACAACACTTTTTAGGCTGGCGCTTTTGTATTCTTCAACAGAAACTAATTTTTAATTAAATTGGTAAATATTTCCAAAATCAAACAAATTATGTTTTACTAAAAACATTTTTTTTTAAGTAGCCTGGGCTCAAGTCGCAGGCAGGTACTAACAAAAACATTGCAAATAGTGTCCTGGACCACTGTTTAAATAATTTTGACAGGAGTTTTGAACCCACAGGCCACACGTGACACACTGAAGGTTCTTATGTGGCCTGTGGAAATTTTTACAATTATGAACAGATCTGTACGACGAAAACTTGTTACCTATCACCATTACAGACAAAGAAAGGTGCCACTTGTATTCATGCGAGACTGCAATGTCATCTTTAGCACATTTCTTACAAATAAGATTGTTAGGTTCATTATCTAATATACTATAACCATTTTATATAACATTTAGTACATGACATTAAATATTAAATTGTTACCCTACATGTTTCATTACATTACACGTTACATATGTATTAAATGTTGTACAAGACGGTTATAACATATTACAAAGCAAAATCACATATAAGGCAATAAATTGAAATAATAAAAATAGTAGGTTCACCCTTCACATCTGGTATACACTGGGGGTGACGATGTCCTAATTTTTTTTAATTTTCAATCATCCTGGAAATA